TCCCCACAAACCATAAGAATATGAAACTTACGTAGACGTAAAAAGTTAGCATAAAAGACAACAGAATCACAGAATTTTACAGGCTAGGAACTCAACCTCTTCCTACTGCAGACCTGGAAAGGCTGTCTACGTGCCTTGCCCAAGGTTACACAGCTGATTAATAGCAGAACCCAATGCAAGTTACTCCCAATCCAGTTCTTCATCTACATCACCATGCTATCTCAGATATGCCCTACTACAAAGTCTCAACTCCTTCGAGAGTTCATTTGAGAGTTTCTTCGGAGGCATCAACACAAATCTGTATTTTTATTGATACATTACAGATTTATACATACCCACTACTGATAACTATTCTGATTCAACCTGAAATAGAACTTAAAAAAAAAAATCACAAAAGCACTTTAAAACACTCACTATTGATAGTCAACAAATATTAACTAGTTTATCTATTTTGATTTTTCAAATACTCCAACAGTAAATAGATCAGCCTTTCTCCTCAAAATATTTAAATCCATATTTCTGTGTGGTACCAGAATCAGAATCACACGAGATACTCGTTAAAAACGCAGATTCCTAGTGTCATCCCCAAATCAACTGAAACAGTCTCTGAAACTTCTAAAATGCCACTTAAAAAGCTCTCCAGGTGATTCTTATTCATTCAAAAGCTATTTATTGGACATTCACTCTACAATATTCTAGGGGGAAACAAGAGACAAATGAGTAAACAAAACCAAGTAAACATTTTGGATTTCAGCTGTGCTATGAAGAAAAAAAGATATTATGTCAGAGAGTGACCTGGAGGACTACTTTATATTTTTTTTTTATAATTTTATTTATTTATTTATTTTTCCCCCAAAGCCCCAGTAGATAGTTGTATGTCATAGTTGCACATCCTTCTAGTTGCTGTGTGTGGGACGCGGCCTCAGCACGGCCAGAGAAGCAGTGCATTGGTGCGCACCCGGGATCCGAACCTGGGCCACCAGCAGCGGAGCCCGCACACTTAAGTGCTAAGCCACAGGGCCAGCCCTGGAGGACTACTTTAAAAAGAGCAGTAGACACAGGATTTTTAGGGCAGTGAAAATACTCTGTATGGTATTATAATGATGGATATATATATTATACATTTGTCGAAACCATTAGAATATATAACACTAAGAGTGAACTCTAATGTAAACTACGGACTTTGGGTAATTATGATGTGTCAACGTAGGTCCATCAATTATAACAAATGTACCACTCTGGTAGGGAATACTAAGAAATGGGGAGGCAATGCATGTGTGGGGGCAGGGAATATATAGAAAACCTCCATATCTTCCTCTTAATTTTGCTAAAAACCTAAAACTGCTCTAAAAAATACAGCCTTTAAAAAAAAGGGGGAAGGGGACAGCCCCGTGGCCTACTGGTTAAGTTTGGCGCACTCTGCTTCGGCAGCCCAGGTTCAGTTCCCGGGCACGGACCTATACTACTCATCAGTGGCCATGCTGTGGTGGCGACCCACCTACAAAATAGAGGAAGACTGGCAGAGATATTGGCTCAGGGTGAATCTTCCTCAAGCAAAAAGAGGAAGACTGGCAACAGATGTTAGCTCAGGGCAAACCTTCCTCAGCAAAAAAAAAGAAAAAGAGCAGTCAAAGAAGGCTTTTCTGAGGAGATAACAATTCAAGTGAAGAGCCCTTCACTCAACAACAGTGGTTCTCAAATTTAGTGTACATCAAAATCACCTGGAGGACTTGTTAAGATAGCTTGCTGGTCAGAAGATGTGGAGTGGGGCCCAAAAATTTGCATTCCTCACAAGATCACAGATGATGCTGATGCTGCTGGTCCAGAAACCACACCTGGAGAGCCATCAATCTAGAGGGAACAGCTAAAAGGTGTGAATAACTTTGGTGTGTTAAAGGAAAAGAAAAAAGGCCAGTTAGAAGGGAGGGTAATGTCCCTCTCATTGTTTCAGAACCACTTAAGATGGTGAATTAAATTACCAGCTGTGGCTCCCAGACCAGATATGGAATCACAGCTTGTTCAATAATACCTTCCAATTACAAAGCATTTCACAGTTTATAAAAGCATTTTCACATTCATTATTTAATTTGACTTAATGAGATAAAAGTGAAGGACTACTAGCTACATTTTAGAGATAAAGAAACTGAAGGACAGAAACATTATGAACCTGAAGGAACCAGAAAACAATTAAGTGGCAGAACTATGTCCCCTGACTCCAAATCCAGTGTTCCTTCCAGAACAGCATGCTTGCTTTTTTAAAGAGCAAAGTAAAGGATACATACAGTTGTTAATACTAACAAATTATTTTCTAGACTCCCTGCCTAAAAACATGGTGGCTTCCAGACTTAATTTGTTTCAGATACTGGTTAGAAAGCAACATTATCTTAAGATTGACAATATTTAGTCCCATGTACTTATTTCTCCTAGTTCAAAAACAAAGGATGAAGAAATGAAGAGAGAATTTACAGACTATTATTCTCTCCCCTGCATAAATATCAGAGCCAATTTCATAACCTAAGTCTCTCAGCCACATCAAACACAATTTTCATCTTGTGTTCCCTCTAAATATCTCACCTAATCCAGGTTCCCAAAAGAACACTGAATCCCACGTCTGACTATACTCATGAGGCCATGAGTAGTTACACATCCATCATCCATCCTCTATATACATCCATTATCATTTAGTATCTTCTCCATCAATCAACCCTTATTCTTAACATTCTTACCTGCATGTCTCAATAGTACTTCAAACCCAAAACATCCAAAACTGCAATCATTTTATCCTCCCTCCACCACACACACCTGCTTCTGTGCCTGAATTCTTTTATTTGCATTAATAGCACTGCCATCCACCAAACAAGAAACCTGGAACTCAGCCTAGACATGTTTGTTTCCCTCACACCAATCTCAAATCACTCCTCATCTCCATTCCCATGGCTACTTACAATTAGTTACTATTAATAATAAACTAGCTTCCATTTCATTAAAAACTACCATGTATTAGTCACTTTACACACTTCATTCTATCAATAACACTGTGAGGTAGAGAATTTTGTCCTTGTTTCACAAATGAGAAAACTGAGGCTAAGAAAAATTAATCTGGGCCGGCCCCATGACTTAGCAGTTAAGCGCGTGCGCTCCACTGCTGACGGCCGGGTTCAGATCCCGGGCACGCACCGCTTCTCCGGCCATGCTGAGGCTGCGTCCCACATACAGCAACTAGAAGGATGTGCAGCTATGACATACAACTAGCTACTGGGGCTTTGGGGGAAAAATAAATAAATAAATAAAATCTTAAAAAAAAAAAAAGAAAAATTAATCTATGTCACAAGTAGGAAGCGACAAAGTAGACATCCAAACTCAAACATGTCTCACAAAGTCCATAGCTTTCCCCCATACCAAAATGCTTCCTTCTTTAATACCTGATATCAGTCCTTTACTACTCATTCCAAATGGGCTCATTTCTCACCTAAATTACTGCCAAGATTCTCCTAACTGGTCCTGCCTCCAGCCTTGCCTTCCCTTGCCCTTCAACGTGCCCCACGTAATCTTTCTGGCTCACAAACGTGATCCTTTTACCCTCTTGATATAAAAGTCCTTCAGGGACTCCCTTTAGTCTACACTGTACAAGGTACACTCTTGTACAGGATGAATCCCAAACTCTTTAGTACAGGTCCACAATCCCTTACCTGCAGTTCCAAAATTCAAAAGTTTTGAAATTTTAAAGATTTTTCATAAGTTTGCAACAAAATCCACCCTGAAAGAAGGCTATTTATTGTCCATTCCATTTGTGTGATGTTTGTACGTTTCACTGCAGAAATATTAATGTGTTTGATAATGAGTTGTCAACCCAGATCCCGCTGGAGCATGAGAGAGACCTTACCAGGAAAAAGAAACTTTTCCAAACTATTCTGAAGTCTAAAATACACCTGGTCCCAAGGGTTTCAGAAAAAAGACTGCAGACCCCTTACCTATTCAGCCCATCAAGCCAATCTAATTTCCACCAATCACCTTACACATCCCTTAGCTCCAAGGATGTGTAAGGTGTCCTGTGCCATGAATACTCTCCAACCCAGTGAGCCACTCATCCGTTAAGAAACCTGTCCAAGGGTTTCCTCTTCAGTGAAGTTTCCCTGATCTCCTCGTGACTGTGCCACAACCATTGTACCAAGTACCCACCTCCAATGCTGTACATTATATATTTGTTGCCCGACATTAGACTGTGAATGAGCCCCTCACTGAGTATTTTATTGAATCCTAGCAAAGTGTCAGGAACATTAGGAGCTCGTCAATGTACAATTAACTGAAATTCACGCCCAGGTCTCCCTAACTCCCAATTCCCTTCAAAGTTCATTTCTCCTTCACCCCTAAACCTTAGGATTTTTTCCTAACCATCCAAGCTCCTCATAGCTATTTTCGTTTCCAGAGTTCCTCCTTCCCAATGTCATCTTAAAACTACTTTCTACCAGACGCCTTCTCTTAACCCCAAACTCTCCAGTGCCCTTTATCCTCCTCTATTTAATTCCTAGTTCTTCTTTCCCCTAGCCTTTAACAGGTCAAGTCCTCTCCCTCTAGGACAATTCATCTCACAGCCCTCATCCGTTACCTACTCCCTCCTCAACACCTCTCCTGGCTCCGGGCCTTCCCTCCCAAAACGCTTGTCACAAGCGATTTCCCAGACCCCCTCTTCTCTCACAGTCCGGGTCCACCAGCTGCCGAACCTGCGCTCGGCCGGAGTCCACGCCTTCTCGGTCCGGATCCGCACATCACAAACCTTCCTTGCAGCCGGTGTCCCCTCCCCCAGTCTCTCGCAGCCGGCACCCCTCCTTTCACCCTCCCCATATCTCCGGCGGTCCGGCTTCTCTGGAAACTGTCCCAGGAGCCGTATCTTTCACCTCTTAGACCCCTGAGGATCGCGCTGGTCCGAGCAGCCCCGGGCCCAAGCACCTCCGTCCCCAAATCCTCCTCGACCCCGACCTGGGGCAGGGCCTTCCGCTCACCTTGCTGGATGTCGCCGTTGCTGCCCCCCGGGATGGGCACGCTGAGCTGGCGCTCCGGCTCGGGCAAGCAGCGCAGGCAGAAAGAGTGAAGACAGGGCAGCAGCTTGGGCTCCGCCTCACGCCGGCTCTGCAGGCTCTGCTGACACACGGCGCAGGTGTCCAGGAGAGAGGCTGGCGGTCCAGGAGGCGGCCCCGCCGAAGGACCTGGGGCGGGAGCCGAGGCTGGAGCTGGGGCCGGCGTCGATACCGCCCCCCCGGCAACTCCAGGGCCCACTGAGGCCGCAGCGGCTGAGGCAGCCGGGGCCGAGCCCGAGGAGGCCGCGGCCACCCCCCCGTCGTCAGGCCCGGCCGCGCCGC